TCAAATATTAATAAAATCAAAATCATCACGCAAAAATATCTTTTGGAACGAATCATACATGTGCAGACATTTAAAATTTTTTTATTATTACTTTTTTTATTATTTTATCTGTAATAAAAATATTTATGCTGCCTATCTGCTGTTATATTTACAAGTAGAACGTAAACTTCAGGCAAAATGTAATTGGGCAAACACTTTGCTCGAACATCAAAAATGTAAATAAAAATAATAAATAATTAAACAATGGTATTTTTTGCACAATTCATATTTTTTATAATTTTAAAAGCATAATATTTTGGAATTTCATTAAATTATTGGAATTTAAACACTATAAGCTGTATTTAACTATTTAGTTCATACGATAAATCGCAGGTACACGTGAAATTTGTAACAACGTATGCGCACAACATATATACATATGCTAATAAAAGAAATGCGACGTTCATTGCCAATAAAAATGGTGCCCCGACAAAAATCCTGACCAGTAGCAACGGATTTTATAATAGGCCACGATGTGCGTACTAAGAATTAACGATTTCGAATAGAACAACTATAGGTCTAGAAAAAGAGTCGAAGAATTTAATTAGAATTCCGCGAACGTAATCACGACGTGCGCAAGCCAGACTGATTTATCATCGCGCGAGTGTAAGGAAACTTTTCACTTTCTAAGTGAAATACCCGTTCTGATCATACCGTCATGAGACCGTTTTACGTCGCAATAAAAGCTACGCGGCCTCGACCGTGAGAAGCGGGCAGTGTTTCGAAGGAATGCCGGGCGAGAGAAGTATGCCGGTGTCAAGGAAAAGAGGAGGAGGAGGACATCGACTTAAGTCGCGCGTCGCCGTATGCGCCTCATAAAACCCAGACGCGCCTAAATGCTACCCCCCTCTTTACACCACACCCCATCTGGACCACCGTCGCGCGACCCTCCACGGTAAACGCATCTCATATAGACCCATAGAGACCCCTCACGACGTTCTCGCTACTCGCCGGTTGATTCAACCTCGATCCTCCTCCCGGTTGCCTCCGGCGTTTCGCCCTCTCTTGCATTCTTTCGTGCGAGCAAAAGAGACCGGGAAGTCGAGATATATAGGTAGTCGCTCGTAAGGAATTGTAAGCCGGAAGGAATCTCTCGCTCCTGCAACGCCATATGGTACCAACGGTTCACGAGAGCACGGATATCTCGATGTTCGTTCGTTGGTAGTGCGGATCGAATGGGAGTTATTTGACGTGTAAATAAAACGTGTCACTCGCGTGCAAACAACTGTCAGCAGTGGTTCGATATCATTTTACCAATTTTGTGGTGGATGTCATTTTCAGAATAGTTGGTAAATAATAATTTCTAAATAATTGAAATTCACATTTTAGTTATTTTTATGTTAATGCATATGTAATAACTCCCTTGTGTGTGTGAGTGTGTAAAATATTAAATTTTTATTAAGTGAGGTAATATATTTTATATCATTTTTTTCTCTTTCACTCTCAATGATTAAATTTGCTAAATATAAAACAAAAGAACTAATTGCTTCTTAAAATATCTTTAATAACTGTATCATAAAATGGAGCGATATTAAACCTAAAGAAGACGTAAAACAGTGTCATTGCCTTCATTGCTGTCATTATCGTGAATGAACAAGAAGAAAGGACAATAGTTTCAATAATGATAATAGAACTATAAGGAACAAGAACTATTTAAATAAAATAATCGATAAAGAGTATTTATTAATGATCGATTGCTAAATTATTCTATAATTTGTTGAAGAAGGTTGTCCTAAAGCTTCTTCTAAAAGCTCTAAAGGTTCTGTTAAAGTTCTAAAGGTTCTGCTAAAGCATCTTCTAAAAACTAAAAGCATTAATTTTTGACTATACAGAAAGCTCAATATTTTTTCGATTTTAATTTTTATTGATTTAGATGTTAGTGTTGTATTGCATTACGAATTTCCGTTATCTTTCTAAGAAAATTCACTTGATAATGTAATCAACATAAATGCGATTTACGAAAGTTGTATACCATTTACTCTATCTCGCTTTTATGCATTCCCACGTGAATTTGCAATAATATTGTTTACTCTTAAAGCAAGAACTGACATGGCTTTTAATCTGTTTACTGTTGTTTCAGATATAATATTTGTTCACAAACCACAAATAAATATGAAGTACGTAACTATTGTGACAAATATTAAGTACGTAACTATTGTGACTAGTTAAAATAAGATGAATATAATATAATGTATCATTTAATAATTTAATAATTTAAAAAATTTACTCTTTATTTGTTTTAGAAAAAATGATATATGTAAATAATTTAAAAAATAAGCAAGTTTAATTGATTAATTATATTTTATAATAAATTTTATTGTGAATAGTATAATGTTGTCCATCATTAATAACTATTTTTCTCATTTTAATTTCCTAAATACGGAATTTATGGTATGAGCTATTAGTCCACATTCCAACTTCAAAATCACAAATGCTGTTCACAATTTTGTACGTTTTTTCACAAATTTACTGCATAGCATAAAGAATCGCGAACATTTTACAAAAGTTGAAACTTGAAAAAGTATTTAATTTTATCGTGATATATAATATTTAATTAACTACACACGTTTACTTCACAAGAACATTATTAACGCTAGAATTGTTAAAATGCGCGGGTGTTTCGATCCAATAATGTTATGACACTAGTAGACACTAATATTCTTTAGCAATGATCACGATTTAATCACTATACAAAAAAATTCGCCGTTTTAATTAACGCAACAGAAAATGTTATCAGCTTAAAACGTTATTTTATTTCATAGAAAACAAATTTAACAGCCACGCAGTGAGTTTTAATAATCGTTAGTAATTACGATTTTCAACGTTACACACGTGTATGACATTTTTGTTCGCGATTAACTTCACGCGATGAGATACAACAAGAAGAATCAAAACTATTTTTGTCGACGGCATTTTTCTCTCAGATATTTTCGCATCTTCGTACTAAGCTTGTGAAAGTTTGGATAACCAGTAGTACCATCAACCACACACATGTGATGCTTCAGAGAGATTTCTGAATCTTCTTCTTTTTGTATCCCTCTTGCTTCCTACTTTCCTACAATATAGATTAGCAAGAAACTAACGCTATAAAAGTAGGCCAATCTCATTCCATATATGAACGACATTGATTTTTCGAAAATAATTTGATCGGCAATATTAAACTGGCTAAAGTGGCCGTTCTCTCTAAAACTTCGTGTAATAATATACGATTAATAGTTTCGAAAAAGATCCATAAAAACTGCTTAAGAATAAAAAAGAGAAAAATATAAATTAATAAATATAATAAAATACAAAAAAAGTTTGTAGCTAAATTTAGTTAGTTCCACAAATTTAATATAATATAATTATATATTTTTTAATTTTAATATATTTAATTATAATATACAATAATTATAAATATATAAAACTGATATAAAGAAAGACTTTTAATTCGAACAAATATGGAAACCAAATTATGATTAATATGGAAGAAATAAAAAAATTTATATACGAAAAATAAATTTAAATATTAATAAAGAAAATTAAAAAAAATAAAATTGGAAACAATCATTGCAACGACACTTTAGGAGAACGTTCTGTATGCTAAATAAATCGTTCTCAAAAATCGGACAATATTATCTCAAGCGAATGGTATGATGAATTGAGAAAAATGGAATAAAATCAAACTAGATTTGATATCGATCCGTTGAGTTTGCAATTTAATCACGTATCTACGAATGCGCTGATAGATCTGCAACTTGTAACATGCAAGAAAAAGACTTTTTTCTTTTTTAGTCCAATAATTATAAAACAAGATCAGATACTTTCTATGGATTTCAAAAATTTAGCAGTGTTTCCGCGCTGCTATCCCAGTAAACAATCTAAGTAACATGTAACATACCTGTTAGTTGTAATTTGTCACTCAATATAACTATAATATAACACATGTGTTATATTATAGTTACATTGTTGAGTGGGAAATTACAACTAACAGGTACGTTACATGTTACTTGGTGTTTGCTGGGATACATCTTCCATGCATTCTGCGTTCAATAATGCTTGGGTCTATCATTCTGTCGCAATATATGAGACAAACTAACGCGAATCAGCTGTAAACTTATCCTTTGAATGACGTTCAACGATAATGGCGCTCAAATTGTTTCAACCAAAGAGAAGTGCATCCTTCTTATTTCCTAAAAGATATGCACACGCGCAGTAATCGTCGTAGTGTCGAAAGGCAAAGTTTTGTTCATACAAATCAAAATCACAACGTTTCTTTAAAAATTAATTAGAATTTTAACTGCCGAAATGTGAAAGCGTCGATATTAATCGTCCTAATAATTAACATGTGAGTTATCAATTTGTCATATAATTAGTTATATATGTAACTTATCACGTTATGCATATTTGTATTAATTACACATGCGTATTTGTACGTACACATTAGTTAGATACACGTGCGCATTCAGATATATTGCTTTATAATGGCCAGTACTTGATAAAACTAGATAAACTCGAAGAATACAAAAGTAACTAAATAGAAAATGTTTTCTGGTAAGTCGATTGCATCAATTATGAGTTTTATCATCACGTTTTCCAATTCGCTTTTTCTGCATTACTAATTTATATTTTAGAGAAAAAAATAATCTATCAATGCGATATTAACGTTCGTGCGACCGTGAACTGAAATTCCGGCGAACGCAAGGGAGAGAATTGATCCGAGTATTCGAGCCTCCGTGACGCAACAGAAATATGCGTGTTAGTTAACGAACCGCGCGCGGCTGGGCGCGAAAGGGAGAAAAGGAGTGACGCGGGTCTATCAATGTCCGTTCAAGAAACATTGGTATTTTTGGGTTTGGGCCGATCTGACAGATTATCGTGCCATGTACATGTCAAGTGACCGTGCGCGCGGCTGAGACGATAGGAATAGGTACACCAAAGTGCGTCATGCTTTTTCACGCAATCGATTCAAATACACTTACACATGTGCTCGCCGAGCGGCCAAACTTGCGGGCCCGAGTTGACTTCAATTAACACGGTAGGCGTGCAGATCACGAGAACGCAGAGGTCAGCGACGCTCAGATTCACCAGGAAGATATTCGTGCTGTTCCTCATGTCTTTACCTCGCAGCACGACTAACGGCACCTGAGGATATCACACGCGAGAGCTACAGCAGCCGGTTCCAAAGATCGGCTACCTCGGTAGCGATAATACAGATTGCAAATACACGCAAAAAAAATGACTTACAATTAGTAATAGTAGCTAAATTTCAATAGCTAAATCAAACTTAGCTATAAGAGCTATCGCCTTAGTGTCATTGCTAAGTTCTGGCTATTACAGATAAAAAACGTGACAAAAAAATTTATTAATTGCAAATTAAAAGCATATATTAGTATAGGCAGCTACAAAGATGGCATACCTAAATGTCTTATCATGCACATTTAGCACGCAGAACTAAGTTTATAGCTACGCGCGAAAATTTGATTTGTAATTGTTTCTGCAATATGGCACTGTCATATGAACATCTACAGCGCATTTAGCATTTATATTTTGCAGTATATAAGCTATATACTGCAAATATTATTACTCTATTGCAAAGATAAAATAGCATAGTAGATTCGGCTAAATAACATTTAATTTTAGCAGCAAATATTTTTTGCTGTAGCACCTACATTTTAATAACTAATAAATTGAATTTCGGCAGTAATGACATTAGCTGTCCCTATTTTAACGACACTAGCGATCTTAGCTGCCATAGCTATATTTGAGCTTCACTGGCTAATCCTTTTTCTGCGTGTAAAAGCGGCGGCGATTAAATTGTACTCCTGATATTTCGTTGATTTCGTAAGTACGATTACAACTGATATTAATAAAATACAAGTTACCATGAGATTGCCAACTATTCCCAGTATCATCACGATGATACACGCTATCATCGAAGTGGTTCGAATGTAGGCGGGCAGCATGTACAGCGCGGAAGTAGCGTTCTCCGACTCGATTACTGGAATCATGCGGTTATGAGACACTTAAGATCCTCTAGACATATTTCACGTGAGACGTGCGCCCCGAGTGTTTGTGATTAATGTAGCATATATCGTCTTACAACAGGATATTGTAGTCTTGAGAATATACCTGAGAATCCGTCGAGCGCGCTGTTGCCGATTGCCGTCGTGTAATAGGATGAATTCAATTCGAACGCGACGGTAGACATCGTTGTCAACATCTTTTTCAAGAGCGTAAGCCAAGATCGCACCCTCGCCTTGTTCTTTCGTCGTTCGTTCTCCCGCCGGTTTCCGCAACTGTTTGATTTATTTCACAAATCCCCTCGCGATCGCGTATCCTCGCGACTCGATACGTTCACGCTATCACGTATCTTCACTCGTTAGACGGAGGGGAGAAGGGGAGATTTGATGTTTAAGTCACGGTATTTACAGGTCTTACGTACAAGTACCGTCACGTCGGTTTCTCTTGCTTTTTTTGCAAAGGAGGAATTTTAATTTTACGTCGGCAACACTTTCCGCCGTGCCGCGATAATTATCGACGCCGGAGTTTCGCGCGTTTCGACGGCGGATTGTCGTGCGTCGGGATGCGGCCCGTGAAAATCCATCAGGAATCGCAGATGCGCGACGGCACCACGGCGTCTCGCGACGCGAACACGGCTCAACGTTTTTGCCTGCTTTAAGATAACCACCACTTTCGCCGGATCGGAAATGTTAAGTGACATCATCAAGTCCCTCCGTCGCGGTACATTCACCATTAATTATCTCAATACGGTGCGTCGAGGAGAGATCCCGCAACGAGATCGCGAGAAATTGCTTGCCCCCGCGAAACGTACTGATTAGTTTCTTCACTTAAAACGAAGAATCTATTTAACACCCTCGATCAAATAGATCGGACGGCGGGAATGTTAATTTGCGAAAAGCCCCGGACGAATGTTTATCTTCTACAAGTTCGACGAGGATTCGCGCCCCGGGAAGCGTATTTCACGTCCGATTAACATTATTAACTTTCTCACACTTTAGATGTAGCTTTACGGGTGACTCGTTTAACAGAATTGTGCCGTTCGTTTGCTAAACTAAATGAACTAGTCATATTCATCAAATAAAACGATGTGATCTGCATTGGGCACTTTTTACTTCAGAATTTTTTTATACGATTCAATTTAATAAAAAAATATATATTAATCCATTTTCATATAAAAACTATATAACATTAAATTTGCTCATTCTTTTCATATTATCTTGTTGGAAATTTTATAACGTGATGGAATTCTATGTGTTTCCAATTCCGTGCAATTTTTCACAATAAATTACTTATCAATTGGCGAGTCGGAAATAAGAATGTGTCTACCGTAGCAATATCTGTAGCGTTTCTCGTGCTCGCGAGAAGAATCATCGAGAGATTGAAATCTGCACGAAATATTTGCTATTCAATTTCAAATAAAATGCTTCGCGTGTTCCGATATCAGCAGATGTAGCAACAATCACACAAGCATCCCGCGTATTCATATTCAAAATCTATACGAATCATTGATCAACACACGCGATTAAATTCGCCGCAACTCGATTCTGCATTCCACGAGCAATTCCTTTCATTATACCAAAACTCGTTTCATGTTATTTGGCCAAAAATTCTCTCAGGTACAACAATTCCGAAGCACGAATCAACTTTGTTTGTTAGCGAGACAACCTGCAGTTTAACAATCTCTCGGGAGAGTCGGACCTAATGAACTAGTAGTTAACTAGTACGGCTTTATGGTTGAATCGCCTCCTTAATCCCATCTCCTTAATTGCTTTTCTAAGAAGACTGAAACTTCTTGGTCACGATTAACTCAATTCTAACGGGCTGCAATTCAATCTGCCACCGATAGTCACCGATAATTTATTATCAATTCATTTACTTTAAGTGATTCAATCAGATCACACGCATACTCGCCATCGCTCGCATTTTCTAAAGTTTAATACGATTTATTTCGTTTCAATCGGCCGCGTGCACAATTTGCAGATCGCGGCGCATCAAACTGTCACTCACAATTTTGCCGCGAACAAATCCACGATCGGAGATTCACTCAGACTGTAGTGTACGATCCGCGCTATCAAACTTCACGCAACGGAACGTCTCGATCGTCGTTCTCATTGAGAAGTCGTCCCCCACAGATGATTCGAAATACATTTCCTGCTTGCACGTGATGCATTCGCTTCTTGTCATCATCGGTTCGCCAGGCTACACGTGCTCAGAAGGAACCCGAACCGTGCAAATAGTGCCGGTAAACTGAATGGAACACGGAACTCAACCGACCACAAACTCTCGAACGCGCCTCCCTTTCGTTAGGAGCATGCGCGCTCTTTCCCTCCTTAGGTATAGTATTATTTTTTCATCGTAATTAAGTGCTCTTGCAAATCTGGTAATTAATAAATTTGTATCATCTCTTTATTTTTAAATATCATGCAATATATAGATTTGTGCAATATATAGATATTTGATAGAATTTAATTTAATTATTCCATTATATTCACGTTAAATTCTAATAACAATTCAATAATAATTATTCTGTATAAATATTCAACTTAAAATAATTGCGTTTATGTGCTATTTTATTATAAAGCTTATTTTGTATTTCATTATGATATAATTTTAATATCAACGGTATCACACTAAATTGGAAAATAACTAATAAGTTTATTCAATGTAATTTATGGTTTACCTAAAATAAAAAAATTATATAATAATTACAATTTGAATAAAACCGTCTATGTGAATAACACAACTAACTTCGTAGAGCGCCTTTTCGCGGTCACGGCTGGATGCCTAATAAATTCTATATGAATTTTTTTGAAATCCATGTACAGCCGTTTAACTGCGCGCCGATTAAATGTTCGGACTTAAAACGCAATTATTAGCTGAGGCTGGAATAGAAATATCATATTGATCTTCTTAATCAATCATAAGTATCTTAAAATACTGAAAAGAACTTATAAATAAATGTTGATTGAATAAAATATGCTTAAATTAATTATTTAATAGATTACCTACATTTATCGCTTCAAATTAAGCATGAACCACTTTAACGAATAAATTTAACGAATCAATTCAATTTTATTCTGTTTTTAGACGCCAGTAAATCAAAATAACTGTTTTCAATGATAATGTGATATTTTATTATTATTTTATCGTTTTTATCCATTTGTTATATATTATACGTTTAATTTCGTACTTCGTAATCGTATTTTTATAGAAGGAATGAGGACATCGCACTCGGACGTATCATCGATAAGAGAAAGGAGTACGTGTCTCGTTTCACTTACGATAAATGAAATTACGTAACTTTTTGTAAGTGTAAAACGTGGGAGTTGTGGGCACGACACCTGACTTCCGCATAATTTAATTCGCGATTATCAGTATTCAGTACAATAATAAAATCATTGCTAATACAGTACTAATACAGCGAAAAAGTGTACTTCTTTAATTTTTACAATACATGTCTTAAAGGAGTTCATGCATTTTAGGCGATTTGGGAAACACGCGGGGAACGTTGGGTTCACCTTTATTTTTACTCAATTTTACTTGCTGAATCGGAAAATCGTAATTAAAATTGACCTAGTATCCGAAAAATATTTTTTTTTCTATTTTAAATAGGAAAAAGCAACGTATGATTTTATCACTTTATCGAACCATGTCTGTGAATTTCTCTTTGTTTTCATAAAAATATATTTTGATGTTACCTAAACCCTCATCCTTTCTCATTAGGACTACATTTTAACTTTTGCATCGAAATATCTTGAAAAGTATAAAAGATGAGGAAAAGTATTTCAGATAAAAGTTAAAATACGATTTGAAGGACAAACAATGTTAAATAACTTTCCAAAAAAATCAATTTTTTAAGGATCATATAAAAGGTATCGCTATTTTTTATATGGAATTATATAATTTTTTTACATAGTATAAAAAAATCATACTATTATGAATAAAAGGAATCTATATATAAAAATATTAAGGTAAAGCGAAAATTCAGTAGTTCGCGAGATATCTTATTATGTTATATTTCGACATAAAATATGAAATATCTCATAAACTATCGATATGAAATGAAAAAATATATAGCAGGAGTTGCTATCGCGTTTCCTGATTTTTTGATAATTATACCTTAATACTTTTATGCATAAAATAACGAGATAAATCAATTGGAATAAAAAAAAAACACTCACAATCAGTTGTTTTAAAAATATATGTAGTTCTATATTGCAAATTGCGTATTTTTTTTAAAAGCAACTGAGTATTTTTTTATTTCAATCGATTCATTTCATTATTTTGTACATAAAAATATTAAAAACAATTTTCAAGAAATCAATAATTTATGAGATTCATATTTTACATGTCAAAATATGACATAATAAAGTATAAAATATTGCGTAAATTATTGCATTTTCGATAACTTTACCTAAAACTTTTATATACAAAATAATAAAATGAATCATACTCTGTAAAAAAATTATATAACTCAATCTAAAAAAATGGCAATATATGACCTTTATATGACCTTAACAAATAATTTTTTTAAATTAGTTTTACGTATTATTTTGTCCGCCTTCAGACCGTATAACTTTTATCTGAAACACATTTCCGCATCATTTATACTTTTCAAGATATTTCGATGCAAAAGTTAAAATGTATACATAACTGATGGTAACTTGCAGAATCTCAAGCTCTGATGAGAAAGGATAAAGGCTTAGATAACATCGAAACATATTTTTATAAAAACAAAAATAAATTTGCAAATATGGTTCAAAATGGTTCATAGTAGTAAAATCAATTATTACTTTTTTCTGTTTAAGATGCAAAAAAAATATTTTTCGAATACTAGAACAATTTTAACTATAATTTTTAAATTCAGCAATTGAAATTGAATAAAAACAAAGATAAACCCAACGTTCCCCGCGTGCTTTCCAAATCGACTAAAATGCATGAACTCCTTTCAGCATATTATAATTATTCTTCAAAATGTTGATAATGCAATTATTTATATTATAATCACTAATACTTTTATTTCTTTTTCTTTCTACTGATTTTTCTTACCTTTTTTATACCTTTTACGATTTAGGTTAATAACGGTTGTATAAGTATAAAAGAAGCGCCAATAAACACGACTCCCTATTAGGAAACCAAGCGCATTCCATTTAAATCTCTCGCTGTCAATCCTCTCTGTGCGCATTGTAGTCAATTTGGGACATTCTCATGTTCCTCGCTTTGAAGCGAAGCGCGATGAAGCGAAAGCACGCATTATTAAAGGCGATTTATTTTACGGTGAAATAAATTGATGGCGAACACATCATAACTCTTGTATTGTTTTGTTTCTTTTAAGAAATATAATGCAAATGAAACAATTGTGATTTACGATACAATAACGTATATGCATTATTAAATTCTTAAAATAATAATATGAAGTATTGTAAAAAGAATATTTTATTCTTAAAAATAAATTTATTTGTATGATTTTTCATTAATGAAAAGTGGACTTTATAGTACTAAAATTATCATCTAAAGATTAAAAAAGTGCGACATAGAACAAAAAATTAATTTTAAAAAATTCTACAATTAAAAGATATAATTGAAAAAAATTGTAGAAATTACTAACTTTGGAATATTTGCTATATACGTAATTTAATAAAAATACTAAATAAGTATAACAATACAAAATAATCAAAAAATTCCAATTTTGGAAATTTCGATATATTCCGATTAATAGAATTATTTTTCCAA